CAAATCTTTTGCGCCTCTTGCGACGACATGTTCCACAAGCATCCCAAGCGCAAGAACCACATACGCAAGGTGAGCTAAAACTGTTTGTTCTACTATAATCATTATAACTATTTATTATCTTACCATTTAGGCTGCCGAGCAAGGCACTCCACCCATACCGCCCAAGGCAAGTGCCGCAGGAGCTGCCCCACCGGTAGCACCGCCTCGACGCAGCAAACGTGGTTTGCTGACACCGTTTCTGGGCCGCAAGGAACAGGTACGACACTGCACGATTTCATAAGCAAAAACTAAACAAATCGATAAAAAAAAACAAAAACAAACTTTGTACTAGACCATGATTTGGGTGTACATCGGTGTAGTTAGAGCTATCTATTTAGTACTAGTTTGTAAACAATTTTGAATGCTTCAATAAAACAAGAACAACAACCAAATCAGAAAAAGAAACCTTAATGCCGTCTGCCCAACAATCAAAGAGAACCAAAAACGAAAAACGAAAACCGAACTTCTTTGCAGATGTTGCCACCGCCCTCGCCGACGCCCTCGCACAAGTCCACAGGCGGCTGGCGGGGTCCAGTTGTTGGGCCTCAAATGAACAATCGACCGTTGCCGGAGCCGCCACGCCCGGCGCCCAGCGAGGGCGGCGGCTCCTCTCGCTCGGGCACGCCCAAATCAGTATTCGACACCATCAGCCGGCCGCCCTCGGTGCAGCTGGAGAAGATCAAGAGCAAGGCGAACGCCACCTTGGATCGCATGGCACAGCTGCAGCAGCGCTATCGCCAGCAGAAGGCGCAGCATGAGGCGGGCACTCCCGACCAGGTAAGGCTACATCTGTGCCACATCTCCCCAGCCATCAACTATCCCTCATTGATATATCGTCTCGTCTTGCGTGTGTGTGTGTGTGTGTCGATGTCTCTGGTCCTTGTCTCGCCCCACACACACTCTCTCTCTCTGTTTCTCTTTCTCTCTCTTTCTCGTTCTTTGTGCATCTAAAACTAAAAGCAGCTGAACTTCGAGCATTGGTCAAACATTTCACCATCGCCCTCGCATTTTCGTTCCGGCAGCATGTCATCCGGTTTGAATTCATCGCATTTTGATCTATCCGATGATTCACACAATTTTCACAATTCCCTGCTGTTCCAACAACAACAACAACTACGACGACAGGCCGCAGGCGCTCAGCGTCGTCAAATGAGCACATCCGTCTTCAATCTGAATAGCATGAGTCCCCGTCGTCCGCTCGCAGAGAACCAACCCATTGGCTCTGCCTGGGTGGCCAATCAGCGCATGCAACAGGTGAGTTGATCATTGATCATTTACAAATTCATTGCTCCTTCATATGACATATCATCTATTCGATAAACTGATTTCTTCTTACATGACTTGTACTTGATCCTCAAAGACTTATGCCCATCTCCTTAATACTCCCTCGGTTAATTTTTCATAACGACTAGCCCCTACTCTTGTGACTTTTACCATAACAACACGTTCTTCTTTAGGAACGACTCTTACTTTCTCTATAATTTTGCTTTAAGGACTGATCCATCTTCATATGACTTCTTCACTTCTCAAACCTTCAAGGCATAATTT